TTTTTGACAATAACTCCGTACAGGAACAAGATACAGCCGCGCGGATGGTCTCATTGTGTTCAGCTCGTCCAGGCGCATCGAATGATATACATGATGACCTCGAGGTCACGTGACCTGAGGTCAACCTTTGACCTTGACCTTTCGAGGTCAACATATACATTATTCGATGCGAATTGACGAGAGGATCACGATTCTGCCCTTAGTTTGTTCCTATATTGACTATTTCGAAAGTTATTCGAGAAAAACTCTCCATACCTAGCGCCGCCATTTTGACTTTTTTGACCCCTGTGACGTCATCTTTGACCTGACCTGAAAATGACCTCTGTAAAAATTGTAGACCTTGTCCGTGCGTATTCCTTGCCGTTTACCGCTTGTCGCTATCTTGCTTCGTTCTCGAGATCTCAGGGGGGGCGGTCATCCGCCCCCCCCCCCCCCCCGTCGGTACGAAGTTGGCGCAGACCCCCGTCGGTGCGCGGGATAAGAACACCAGGTTAGTCACGCATTGCTATAAATCTTTAAAGTAAAGCACCAATTAAAACGTTGAAATTTATTTTACTAATCTATTTTAATTTAATCTATTTAAAAATGTTGCATTTATCTCATATTTTTTGCAATTTGACCCATTCGGTTAAATTTTCTTAAAATTTGTCATGACCTCTAGATGTCCTCAGGCACAGACTTCTCTATATATGGACTGTGCGCTGATCTGAGGAAATCAGCATTGGAGGCCCAAATTTCTGAAGCCGTAATATGAGCCTATGCGTTGTAACACACCACCTATTCACTTTCACCGTTGTCGGGTTTAATTTCAAGTATTTTTTTCTTGTTCTTGTAATATCTACTGCTCATCTCAAGAATAAGAAAGGCTTTTGGTCAATATGAATGCATGTATTGGCGCATCATTTCCCGTTCAGCGACACCCATCGATGCCTTCATGTCTACATAGTTCATCTCACATTGCACCAGTGGGCTTAAAAAAAAAAACAGTGGTCACCAGTGGCGTTAGTCTACAGGCGGGCGCCAGTGAGGGCCGGGCAGCGGAGCAGCACGTGCTCCGACACGTCCGCTTCCTCCCGGAATAGGGCGCAGAGCGCCGCGTGGCACCGCTTGTCAGGGCACTGCAGGCACACCGTGGAGGGCAGATGGCCGATCCGGTGCAGATACTGGAGCAAACGGCCCCAGTGGCCCGCCATCATCTGGTGCACCGAAACGGCGGCCTCTCGGTCCTCTCCGGGGATGGGGAGCGGCAGGGTACTCCCGAAGATCGTCTTGAAGAAGGATTCGGGCCAGTTGTCGCGCCACTGACGAGTGGCTGCCCGACCGACGTGTCAACGAGCGGGTGTCCGAGGGCAAAGCGTCCTGAAGCAGGGCAGCCGCTTGTTTGGCCAGTTCGTCCGCGCGCGCACGTCCATTACCCTCGATCCCGCAGTGGGTGGGAACCCACTGCAGTGTCACCTCACGGCGCCCGACGATATCCAGCAGCGTCGTCCATATTTCCGCGCCGAGAGTGAAGGTCTGGCCGGCCGTTCCTGCGCTGAGTAGGCTCAGGGCGGCTCTCGAATCAGAGCACGCCACGAGCGGGTGAGGGACGACTCGTCCCGGACCCTCTCCAGTGCCGCCCGCAGGGCGAAGAGCTCTGCGCGGGTGGTAGAGCACAAATCTCCCGCTGCCACCCTGACCTCGACGGTCACCCAAAGGCGGTGAAGATGACGGCGCCGCCTCCTCCTCGCCTGACCTCGGCGTCTGCGGAGCCGTCCGACCAGATCCAGGTGGCCCGGGCTGGGAGCGTCGCCAGGTGTTCCCGAGCGGTCTCTCGTCGAACCTAGTTGAAGGCGTCCCGTCGACCGCCGGGACCGACGTCCAGCTTGGAGACGACCGGGCGCTGGGCTGTGTTCATGGGAGGAGAGGAGCCTCCAAGCGCGATTCCACCTCCATCCCCGCGGCGCCCGCCTCGAGCAACGCTGACCGTCCCTGCAGACGCCAGCCGGTGGTGGATCGAAGGCGCGTGGGTGGATCAGCCTCCGCGGCGACACGCAGCGGGTCGCTCCGCGGCAGGGCGGCTCCGCGGTATGCTCGGCCAGCGTCTTCCTGGTAGACCAGACGGATGGGATGCCTGCCTCGGCCAGTAGTGCGTCCCTGGGGTAGACCGCGGGCAACCGGTCACCACCCGGGCGGCCGCCAGCAGCTCGCGCTCCGCCAGCTGGACATGAGATGGGGACGCTACAGCCAGACCCAGGCCCCTCCGCATATTCGAGGACTCCTCGAACGTAACCGTTCGCGACGGTTCGGAGCTGCGCCTCGCGGAGGCCCCACGTCCGGCCGGTCATCCTCCGCAGCTCCGTGTGAACGGCACGCAGGTCACCGGTGGCACTAGCCTACATCTCTTGAAGGTGACCTTCGACCGACTTATACACTTCAAGGACCACTGCGACTCTCCCCACGTAAGCTGGATTGGTCACAGCTCTGACCTGACTGGCCACAAATCGCGAAGTTGCGAATCGCGATTGGGAGTTGTTCCTTTTCACATTCAATGCTGGTCAAGTGAAGTCTTTGTATCTCATTTCAGCGAGCTTTCTTTTCGGAATTGAGTTAGGCACTAGGTATTTTAGGAAGCATGCTGAATTTGGCGCCGTCAATAACGGCCCGTTTTTCTTCTTGCTGTCAGTCTTACAGAAGTCAATGTTTGTAAAATGTAACTTGCAAAAGCGATTGTCCTGAGTCCTCAGCGTGATTTCTTGCCCCGATTGATGGTTTCTCCTGGTAACATTTCTTTCTTTTTATTTATACGGGAGGCTAAAAAGTTGCCTTTTTGCTAGTAGGTCGTTTGAAGTCTTTTTGTCTGGTTCGATATCTGGAATGACATCTTCGCACCAGACACTTTCCGGTCCGGTCGTGAAAGTGCTGAAGTAGTAAATTATAATTTTTCTTTTCATTATTCTTAATCTTGACCGTTTTTTCTTCCATTATTCTTGAATGCTATGTTGTCTCTTTATCATTTGATTCATTTGATTCTTCATCATTATTGCTCACAGCTATTTTCAAACCAACGTAAATGACTCGGTCAGATGGTATTTATCGCCTTGGATCAGATTGGGATCAGACAAATTAAAATTAACAACCAACATTCAAAAGCGAGAAAACGGGTGCAAAGTACGGCTGCGTTTGTGAAGCAAATACCTCTAACGTGAACAGATGGTTAACTGAGCGAGAAAACATGTCCGCATTTATATTCATTTACTCATTATTTATTCAACATGCAATGAAATATCTTAATCCGCGAAGTAGATAAAAGTATGGGTTACCTTACATTCAAATTTCAAAATATTTCGACGCCTTTTTGATGATAAAAAGATTCATAAAAGTGCACTGATTTTTGGGCCTCCAATGCTGATTTCCTCGGATCAGCGCACAGTCCATATATAGAGAAGTCTGTGCCTCAGGTCAACCGAACTTGAAAAACCATGATGCATGTTATGGCGCTCGGTGAGCTTAGCATGTCCTGCAAGTTGGAATCAGATCGGTGCACAACTCTAGATTTCAATAAGAATAGTGTAATTTTAGTCCCAATTTGACAGTGTATCGGTTTTTGTGACATGGTGACCTGGCCTGAGGTCACTGTTAAACCTGAAATTGTCAGTGAAGATGCCAAAAGGTTGCCCCGGAGAGCGAGCCCTCTTGACACTATTAACGAGAAACCTTACGGGGTTAAACCCAGGCGAGGGTTAAACCAAATCCAACAATTCCCGCCTCTGCGGGGGTACTAACAGAAGGAAACTGGAAAAAGTTTGAATTCTTACTGTGCGAGAAGTTTTCAAGCGAAAACAACAAAAATCGTTTGACCGTGCCTTTATTTTGCTGTGGTCATGCTCGGCCTAGTGGATCTGCGACATTGGACGTTGAGAAATGTTACCTAACTATGTTACCTATGTTGCCTATGTATGTACAGCCCTCAGCAGAATGCGTGGTGGGTATTCTTTTTTCGTTAATACCGATTACCGATAATAACTCAAAGGCTATGTTATCAATCCGTCGCAACTCACTGCAAATAGATGCGCCATGTTCCACTCCTTCGATTGGGTCTATCGCCAAACAAAGTATGCGCATTGTGTGGCAACAAAATGCAAAAGTTTGTTTTGGGGGCAAATATTAACTTTTGGGTTTTGTTTCCAAAATGGATGAGAAATGAGTACGATGATTATGCCAATCTAAGGTGCGGAGTCTCGCGCGTCTTGCTGTTACGATTTCCGAGTGATCGATTGCATAGTATTCGCGTTATTCTCGGTTTTGTCGAAAAAAGAATACCTACCACGCAGTTTGCAGAGGGCTGTACCTATGTTACTTGAGAAAAAAAAATCCCGCTTTTGCTGTCCCACTAGCCCGCCCTACGTCATAGAAAAGGCATGACGTCATCAGGGGACCAGCTGAACCTACCTCCCTGGTATTGGAGCCCCCAGTATCTCCCGGCTACACCAAAACACATACTGTCGGTGTTTGTGACGTCACACATACACCCGGTCCCGGTGTAACGGCGTCTCCAAAGTCGCTGACGGACTACCGCCGACAACACACCGCGGCAGAGACGGACACCGTGATTAACAGCCGTGTATTTCACACTCGGTCGTGACTCGCCACCAAACAGAGTCACTGTGAGTCACGACTCAGCTGAACAACGGGAGTACACACGTGACGTCACGATCACAAAGGCTCTCTCCGACGGCTGGACGGAAATACAGGCCGTGGAATTGTCTCGATTAGTGAACAAGCCGGCCATATAACGCAGAACTATCAACGTAAGCTACATGTGTGCTCTAGATAACCCTGACCGAGGACCTACCATGGTGACACAAAACCCCGCGCTAGAACGTACAAAACCACAAACCTCTGTGCTTGAACATGTCACATAAGCATGCTATCTATGGTATGCCCTTTCCGTGGTGTTTCCTGGTCTCGAATGCAGCGGTAAAATGGCCGTGTTTCAGGCTAGGCAAGAATAAGATGACTCAAAGTGCTGCGCTGCCGACGGGAGACGGTGCTGCCATCTGTTGTCGGAATGTGACACCACCACCGGCACGGCAGCCGGCGAGGCACCGGCCAGATGGGGGTTTAGTCGACGTACATCACGGAGACGTGGCCGTCGGGCGGTTTGCTAAGCTGTCCCTGTACAGCCCCTGAAAGGAGAGCAGGTCTGGTTACACACAACGCCCGATAGTGACGTCATAGACAACCAGTTCAGACTGATGACGTGACGTCACCTTGGGAGTCAGTCACTGCCAATGAGCCATTAGAGTGACGTCATAAACAGCTAATGCAGAATGGTGTGACGTCAATCACATAAACCATGGTACCATGCTGGCTGATTGTGTTCATGATAAACCAATCAGTGCAAATGCATTCAAAGCATATTAAACCGCTTGTCAGTGACGTCACAAAGAACTAGCCCATGCTGATGGTATGACGCCATAGGGAAAGATGCACTGATAATATATTAACCCTCGCCCGTATTGGTGTTTTTCCAGCCGCGAACGTATGAGGGGGGGGGGGTCCGTTGGACCCCCCCCCTTGCCGTTTCGCCCCTGATCGAGCTAGAGCTTCACGGAAAAAACGAGCGTGTTGCCCGTGACGAGAGGAAGCCGATGATACCTAATTTTAAGGTCCTAGGTCATTGGTTGACCTTGCAGGTCAGGTCAATGACCCAAAAGTCGGGAAAATCGGGACCTGTTAGAACGTCGTAAAGCGTGGCTGCTGAGGGGTTTTTCGGGGCGCTGATCACGAATATCATGTTAGTTTTGATCACAGATGATGTCTTTATGCATTTAGTCCAGGTCGGGTCAGGTCAGGTCAGGTCAACCAGTGGGGGTCCTGCCGGGTATTCCTAGTAGGTGTCAACCGCCTCTGACAGCTTCGTAACATGTTACGAAGGTACCAAAACTACTTCGTAAACGTTCATATGGTTGCTAAATTCGAATTCAGCTCCAAAAACTGGCCTAGAAACATGTAAAACTCGAAAAAGTGAACCGAGGTCACCAAAGGTCAATGACCTGACCTGACCTTCAGGTGACCTTGACACCCACCCTAATGCATGGGGGTAACATCATATCACATGTCTGAACGCTTGAAATCACGAAAAGACTGCAAACGCGCGGCTAATGCGGGCCGACATACGCCGAATCGCGATTCCGGCCAAACATGGTCTCGAAAAGTAGGTCACAGGTCAAAGGTCATTGGGGTCAGGGTCATGAAATTTTCAGGGTAGGTGTAAAATTGATTAACGCGAAGGTACTGAAAGTTTCGTCGCGATCGGCCGCTTTTTAGGCAAGTTATTTGCGAAAAACCATGGGGGGGTCCGTTCGACCCCCCCCCCCCCCCCCCTATACGGGCGAGGGTTAATACATAGGCCCCGCCACCAGGGGGGGGGGGTGTGGACGGGGGACGTGTCCCCCATTGTTTTACATTTTTAACATTATGCCTATGGGTGCTGCATGGAAAGAATCTACTTCAAACGGCCTTCGTCCCCCCCCCCCCCCCCTCCAACCATCGGGTCGTGACGGAGCCCTTATATTGATATGTACCGCTAGTAAGTGACGTCATATCTCACGACTGATGTCTGATAAGGCATCGTGTCATGTCTGTGGCATGTGTGACGTCATACCAGTGCTAGTGAAGCTCAGTGCTAGTGACGTTTAGTGATAGTGACGTCTAGTGCTAGTGACATCTATTTCTAGTAGCTTCTAGTGCTGGTGCTAGTGTCCGAGAGGCCGGTGGCGCCGGGTCGGCTGGTGAGGGTGGTCAGTGGCGCCGTCACTCACTGGGGACATAGAGACTGATGGTACGGCACTGGCGTCTGTCAGTGTAGCCCAGGTTTGTCTTCAGCAGGGCAGTCAGGACGGCCTGGCAGTTTACTGCTGAGGAGGTTAGGCACAGGCACTCCAGCTTCCTGCAGGTCACTGCCATCCTGAACAGAACAGAACAGAACAAAACGGGTCAGCCTGCGAGACACAGTGACACACAGTGGCACCAGCGGTCAGCTCCACACTTCATGGCACGACACTGACAATAGCCAAACAAGACCAAAGGAATCATTTGTGGATCGACATCGTACGACCCACACAGGAGAGCGCGGATGTGAATACTGCTAGATGAAATGTCCAGACTGGGATAGTGCGACTCGCAAATGGTCAATGTATGTATGTATGTATGTATGTATGTATGTATGTATGTATGTATGTATGTATGTATGTATGTACGTATGTATGTATGTATGTATGTATGTATGTATGTATGTATGTATGTATGTATGTATGTATGTATGTATGTATGTATGTATGTATGTATGTATTTATGTATCTATGTCTGTCTGTCTGTCTGTCTGTCTGTCTGACTCGGTTTACACACCGACTGACCTGCTGACCGCTGCCACCTCTGACTCGGTCAGGGTAGGGATGTCTGTGAGGGGCCGCGGGTCTGTGAGATGCAGTTCATACAGCCCAGAGCAGCCGTGGAGGGCGGCCAGTGTGGTTTCCGAAGTGGCACCGACCACGCCAAGTTTGACCAACTGCAAGCTGGTGAGGGAAGCCAGAAGACGTGCCAGTGCTCCCGGTGTCACGGACGGTGACCCTGTTGAACACACAGACACACAGAGTACAGTCTATAGACTTACAAACACGGTGGGTCAGGTCAAATAGCAAAAAGTAAAATAGAACACGCAAGGCCAAAGAAAACGGTAAGAGTGACTTTGGTGAATATTGATAAGTAGGTGAACAAAACACGTACATAACAATTTACAGACAACAGATACAAATCGTATGTACGGTCATGTAAATGATTACGGAGCGAGCGAAGCGAGCGGAGTCTCATACTGAATTAAGGGAAAATCCTGAGTATGGGGACGCTTTTCTAAAGCTAATATCTTAGGAACGGGACATCCGATTGACAAGCGGTCTTCTTTACTGAATGTCACTTGGACGTAAAAGTTCTGTGGTGTGATGGCCACCATGCGTTCTTGCCAACCACCGCACGTGGCGCGTGGTAAAGTTGGACATTTTTTCAGAACCCCCAAAATTGCAACCTCAATCACGGCACAACGGTTGGGCCGATTGAATTGAAACTCGGTACACAGTTAGGTCTCCATCAGATAATTCATCTGCATGTGTTAAGGTTGGGGTGCTACAGCACGTGCGCACGTGCAGGGGGCGCTCCCAGATCTCGAGAACGGCTGGGCCGATTGCGCTCAAATTTGGTACACGGTTGGGGACCAGTTAGTAGGGTGCCGTGCAAAAGTCAGTTTGGACCCCGCTTGCACGTGCGCACGTGCAGTGTGCCGCTTCCAGATCTCGAGAACGGCTAGGCCGATTGCGCTGAAATTTGGCACATCGCTAAAGACCGGTTAGTAGGGTGCAGTGCACAAGTTAGTTGGAGGTACCCCCTCGCAATTTCGCACGTGCAAGGCCCATCCTCTCGCTCGCTCCGTTGGTCGCCCAAAAGGCGTTTTACTGGTAGATTGAAGAGGAGGTAATAGCACATACATAAAGCAGGAGACGATGGCTCCGGCATATTTATGTTGCCATAGGCATTATCGTTCAACAAGACCTGACATACAGTGGCTCTGGTATACAAATTATGAAGTTGAGGTTTACATATGACATATAACAGGCAAAGCTGAGCATCATGCCTTGATGTGGTGTGTCTTCAATGGACTGTGTCTGTCCGTGCTGCCGCTGCTCACCAAGTATGACTAGCTTGGTAACTTGGTAATCGGGTTGTCGGTTCGACAGAACGCTCAGCTGGTCCAGCAGTTTGTCGGTTGCTAGCTGTACACCGACACTCAGATTACAACGATCAAAGCTCACTGGTGACCGAGTCATTCCCGACCCTGTGGAGAGAAACATGAACACAGATGAGTCAGTACATAGTCATACATCCAACAGGAACAGAGTGAGTGTCCAACGCAGCAGCAATCAGTATCCAATACGGTAACAGAGTCAGCATCCAACACTGGTATAAAGTCCGTATCCAACACAGGAGCAGGCAGTACCCAACATGTTCTTACATAATTACTGTTTGGCTTCATAAATAATGTCAGTTGTTTTTTTACTACACATAACAGCATATGCAGTCTGAGCTGTTATCTATAGGTCCTAATAGCAAACAGTAAAATGTTCTAACAGTTCGGGGATTTAAAGCATGGAGACCTGGAACAGGGACATCTTAAGACTTATAGAACCCAAACAGCAAATAAATAGTCAGTATAAAAAGTCAGGAAGACTGTAATTGGCTCCGTGCAGCGGCCCGCAGTCGCGACTTTGTTCCAAGTCCAACACGGATGTCATCAGGTACCGCACGGCACTCTTGACTGCCGCCCTACACCGGAACTCGCATGCGGGTTGCGAGTTTTTGGGTTTTCGGGTTTCCTCAAAATCAAATAATGCAAACTCAGCTGAGTGACCCACACTACCATCGAACAAGGGAGTATGCATGTTTTTAGCTTGCGAGCCACCTTGCATCGCATTCCAAAAGTTGATTTTGAGTCAACTTTCGATTTTCCTCGCTGCGAGGTCTGCGAGTTCTGCGAGGTTTGCAGGGTTTTCGTTGAATTCGAATTTAGGTTCGTTGTGCTGGTTTTGCGCCTATATGTAATTTTCTGAAAGTGTACCGGCTTCACTGCATTCATGAAGTTACCATAAGGGAACGGTCTAATCACTCTATGAATTAGTATTATGCCCGCAAACTCAAAACCCGCAAACTCGCAACCCGCATGCGAGGTCCGGTGTGGGGCGGCCATTACCAGTGATGTCCAGTCTCTTCAGCGACTTGGGTAGCAGCCACAGCCACTTGCCGGTGCTGTTCACGGGTAGGCTCAGATTTAGTGTCTTCAGAGCCTTCAGTGGCTCCAGCAGCGCCTCCAGCTGGCAGTCACCGATGCCGGCCGGCAGCGTCAGCTCACGCAGACTGGAGGCGTTGGCACGCGCCAGCCGACGCAGGGCAGAGACTCTCAGCTTGAAGCCGCGCAGGTCGGCTGTCTGCAGGGCGTGGCAACTGTCCGCTGGAATACAGCATCACCGTCAGTGAGCTAGCGATCAAACGGACAGGTCATAGGATACATGGAATACAACAACACTGTGCGTAAAGTAATAATCACATAGACATTGGACAGGTCACGTGATAATTAGTC